GGTCATGCCTTGTGTGACCTTGGGGCAAGTATAAATCTCATGCCTTTGTCCATTTTTAATCAGTTGGGAATTGGGGAAGTTCGACCTACTACCGTGACGTTGCAATTAGCATATAGGTCCTTGGCATATCTGAAAGGTAAAATTGAAGACATCTTGGTTAAAGTGGACAAATTCATCTTTCTAGCCGACTTTCTAATGTTAGATTATGAAGCCAATAGGAATGTCCCGATTATCTTAGGAAGACCCTTTCTTGCTACGGTTAGGACATTGATTGATGTACAAAATGGTGAGTTGACCATGAGAGTGAATGACCAGCAGGTAACTTTCAATGTGTTTAAGACTCTTAAGTTCAATGGGGAGATTGAGGACTATTCGTCTATTTACTCAGTAGGTGATGATTTAGATCTAAGTTTGATCGACTGTGCATACAGTGGAGACACTGTGGGCACGGCAGAAGACATTTGTGAAGAAGACTTACTTGAGGACATAGCTGCCTTTGAACAGTTAGATTTTAAAGATATACCAACCCAAACCCCATCCATTATAGAAGCACCCGATTTGGAGTTAAAACCACTGCCTTCACATCTTAAGTATGCATATCTTATGGAAGGAGAAAAATTGTCTGTGATTATTTCTTCCAACTTAAGTAGTGAACAAGAGGAAAGGTTGATAGATTTGCTGAAAGACCATAAGAAAACTTTCGGTTAGACCATAGCTGGTATTAGGGGAATAAGCCTGTCCCTTTGCCAACATAAGATCATHTTGGAAGAAAATAGTGTTGGAAAGGTACAACCTCAAAGAAGGCTAAATCCAATCATGAAAGAAGTGGTTAAGAAGGAAATCTTAAAGTGGTTAGACGCGGTTATTATTTACCCCATTGCTAGTAGCGGTTGGGTAAGTCCGATTCAATGCGTGCCTAAGAAAGGTGGTACCACGGTAATCACCAACAACAAAAACAAACTTATCCCAACTAGGACCGTTACCGGGTGGAGGATTTGTATGGATTATAGGCAATTGAACTTAGCTACTAAGAAAGATCACTTCCCTTTGCCTTTCATAGATCAAATGCTAGATCGGTTGGCCGGAAAGGAATTTTATTTTTTTTAGATGGGTACTCGGGATACAATCAAATCCATATTGCACCCAAAGATCAAGAGAAAACTACTTTCACTTGTTCCTTTGGAACTTTTGCTTTCCGACGTATGCCATTCAGTTTATTTAATGCTCCGGCCACTTTCCAACGATGTATGATGTCTATTTTTTCGGATATGATTGAGGACACTATGGAAGTTTTTATGGATGATTTTTCGGTTATTGGCACTAATTTCGAAAATTGTCTTGAAAAATTTGAGGAAAAGTTTGGAGAGATGTGAGACCCATGACTTGATTTTAAATTGGGAAAAATGCCATTTTATGGTACAAGAGGGAATAGTTTTGGGGCACATGATTTCAAAGAAAGGTTTGGAGGTTGACAAAGCTAAAATTGAGGTGATAATGCAATTGCCCGAACCTACTTCGGTCAAAGGCATTCGTAGCTTTTTGGGACATGCGGGTTTTTACCGACGGTTTATTAAGGATTTTTCTAAAATTGCAAAACCCTTATGTAACTTGTTGCATGTTGACCAAGCTTTTGAGTTCACCTCCGATTGTAAAAAGGCTATTGAAACAATCAAGAATGCTCTTGTCTCGGCACCCATTATAATCACTCCCGATTGGTCCCTACCTTTTGAGGTAATGTGTGACGCAAGTGATTGGGCCGTGGGTGCCGTTTTGGGGCAAAGGCAAAATAAAATTTTTCACCCCATATACTACGCAAGTACGACTTTTGTTGAAGCCCAATTGAATTATACCACCACGGAAAAAGAGTTGCTTGCGGTAGTATTTGCTTTTGATCGTTTCCGTTCATACTTTATTGGTACCAAAGTCACTATTCATACAGATCATTCGGCAATAAAATATTTATTTAACAAAGTTGATGTGAAACCACGGCTTATTAGATGGATTCTTTTATTGCAAGAATTTGATCTTCAGATTGTAGACCGAAAGGGATGTGACAATCAAGTGACTGATCACCTTTCTAGAATTGAAGGAAATGTATCAAGTGGGGGGAATCATGAGATTAAGGAAGTTTTCCCGGATGAATTTGTTTTGGCCATACAACATAATTTTCAAAAACAAAATCCTTGGTATGCAGATATTGCCAACTATCTTGCATGTGGCCTTAAACCATATCATTTTCAGGGAAACCGGTTTAAAAAATTTCTTCACGATTGCAAGCATTATTTGTGGGACGATCCATCCCCTTTTTAAATTGGGATCGGATCAAATTTTGAGAAAGTGTGTCCCGGATGATGAAATCCAAGCTTTGTTAAAGGAATGTGATGCATCACCGTACGGAGGCCACTTTGGTGGACAACGTACGGCCGCTAAAATTTTACAAAGCGGATTTTTTTGGCCCACCATATTTAAAGATGCTTTTGAATTTGTGAAGAGTTGTGATCAATGCCAACGCATGGGAAATTTGTCCCAAAGAAATGAAATGCCTTTGAACTATATTTTGGAAGTCGAACTTTTCGATGTTTGGGGTATTGACTTTATGGGACCATTTCCCATGTCTTTTCATAATCAATACATTTTGGTTGCGGTAGACTATGTCTCCAAATGGATAGAAGCTAAGGCTTGCCCACGAAATGATGCCAAAACGGTAGTGGACTTTTTGCATAAAAACATTTTTGTTCGTTTTGGAACACCCCGAGCATTGATAAGCGATGAAGGGACTCATTTCATAAACAAAGTGTTAAGTACCACTCTTGAGAAGTACAACATCCAACATAAAGTAGCCACGACTTACCACCCGCAAACCAATGGTCTTGCGGAACTTTCCAATCGGGAAATAAAAATATTTTAGAAAAGGTGGTTAAGCCAAATCGTAAAGATTGGTCGCTTAAATTGGATGATGCACTTTGGGCTTACCGTACCGCTTTCAAGACTCCATTGGGCATGTCTCYGTACCAACTTGTTTTTGGAAAATCTTGTCACCTTCCGTTGGAGTTAGAATATAAGGCATTTTGGGCTATTAAGAAATTAAATTTAAATGCAACTCTAGCAGAAGAGAAAAGAAAGCTCCAACTCAATGAGTTGGAAGAGTGGAGGTACCGAGCCTATGAGAATGCCAAAATTTACAAAGAAAAAACGAAAATGTGGCATGATCGTAGGATCAATCAAAGAATTTTTGAAAAAGGTCAAAAAGTGCTTCTTTTTAACTCTAGGTTGAGGTTTTTCCCCGGAAAACTCAAATCTAGATGGTCGGGACCTTTCACTATTGTTGAAGTGGGAAAGTTTGGAACTATAGATCTCTTAAACCCACAAGACAATACGGTTTTTAAAGTGAATGGGCATCGGGTCAAGCATTTCTTCCCTGAAGGAATGCAAGATCCACGCCAAAAATCTCTTTAAAAGATTGTCGAACCTTCTGTTGTAAATAATGTAAATATTTTTTTTAATTATCGTACTTCTTGTTTATTTCGTGCATGTATGCTCACATTCTGAAGTGGGTTTTGGTTATTATTTTTGAATATTGGTGGGTTTTTGTGGAATCTTCCAAGGAAAAGAAAAAGGGAAAATAAGAAAAGAAATGGAGTTATTTTTGAAAAAAAAGTGATGATGATTTTTCTGAAAATGAAGGCTTGTGTAAGAGATTTGACTTGTACCATGACATCATTTTTTTCAGATCACTTGTCCTTCCAAAGGTTTTGCATGCAGATGGGAACGGTTATCTATGTTTTACCCACCGGTTATCTATGAAAAAGGGGGGGAACATTATTTTTTACTTCACTATTCATCTTCTCCTCCCTTTTCATGGCAAGAACACGAAGTAACCCAACCGGCCGGCCCCCTTATCGACCGCCTGCCCGTCGCTCCTCTCGCTGGACTGTCGCCGGCGAAGCATCATCCGCCGCTCCAGTGGCAACATCAGTCGGTTCGTCGATGCCTTATTCAACGCCCCTCTCGCCGGACCCCATTACTTTTGCTCCGCCGGCAAGACATCCAACAACCACCGGCGCCGGTCAATCATCTTCCGTGCGGGTCGACTTTGATGAGTACCATGTCGTCGTCACTTCGGTTAGTGTAACTCCATCTCCTCCCCTATTTACTACTATTTTCACCCAGTCCACCATTATTCACAACACCACCACCACCATCGGCGCCGGTCCGTCTATTTTACGACCGCCGGCCACCGCACCCCTTCCCACACCAAGACCCCTTTTCTTAGCCCTAACCGTACCACCCTCTATCACCCCTCTATCTACCCCCATCCCACCACCGATCAACCCTACACCCACTCAACAGCCCCCTATTCCCCTTCCCTCAACACTACTCGGCCCACCCACCATACACGATTTCGACCTAAACCTTAGTGATACCTTAGGGGAGAGTTCCATTTTGATTTTGAAGCCAATGCCTCCAATAATCCTGAGGATTTATTCCCTTTTTCTGTTCCTGAGTCTGTTGAAGAAACACCACAGCAACCCCCTGAGACTCAAACAGAACATGAACTTCCTGTTGAAGAAATACCGGTCACTGTCCCCAGTGGGCAGACTGTGAGCACAGACACCTCTTCGGGAAGTATTGAAAGTGCAAGTTCAGAGTCTGTTATGCCTCAGCCATTACCAAAACCAGTGCCTGAAGACAGTGACTATGAGGATGAGATGGCCGAGGACTTAGAACATGCTGAGGATGTGGCCGAGGATGTTGAGGAACAAGAGGAAAGGGAGGATTTTGAAGAAGAAATTCAAGAGGAGGAGGTTTTGGAAGTCAGTAAGCCAAAACCTTCTAAAAAGAGGAAGGCAGCAACAAAGCAGAAGAGACAGCAAACACCAAAGAAAAAGAAAGAAAAAGTGATACCATTTCAAGAGAGGTACAACYGTATCAAAAACAATAAAATTCTTTTAGAACGAGCCTTTGACCCCCGGTTGGTCAACTCTTTTATGGCTATCAGACACCATTTGGTGGCTTTGCGGTGGGATAATTTGGTGTTGCCCCTTTACGGGCCAATGTATTTTGGGTAACCGAGTTTTACGCGGCCATTGGCACCACCAAGAGCATTTCGGTAAACATTCGGGGCAAGAAAGTTGATTGGTCGGGGTCGAAGCTTAATGCGGCCCTTGGACTCACCCCACCACCAGAATGCTCGTTTGCACAGATTATGGATGGGACTCGTGAAGTTGCCGATGTTGATATCGCTTCCGTCCTTACGCTCCCCGATCGTGGATGGTCGAGGGACAACCGGTGCCAAATCATTTTTGCCTGCCATTTAAACACGGAAGTGGGACTTTGGTTTCAGTTTTTGCGACATAATTTAATCCCCACTGTTCATGATAGTACATTATCACGGGACCGATGCGTCCTCCTTTATTGCATTATGAGCGAGTTGCCAATCGACCTTGGGCCGATTATACATGCATCCATTTTGGCAGCCTCTCAGAGGACGCATTCACGCCTAGTCTTTCCGGCCCTTATCACAAAACTTATGGCCAAGGCTAGGGTCCCTACCCATGAGGCGGATTCCATTGTTGTCGGCTCTCTCTTGTTGGGACAGAACACAGTCGACCGTCGGCATAGAGCCTCTCGGCCATTTTTAAATTTACAGCATCCTGTCCCGGTTGAGAGAGATGTGGAAGAGCCCGTGGCGCCAACAACCGTTCAACCAAATGCGCCACCGGTCATTCTTCCCGATCCACAGGTTGCCGTTGTTTCGGAGTCGCCAAATGTTGCACTTACCGAGCCACCCGCCGCGCACATATCGGAGCCACCCGTTGTCACCATGACCGAACCAGATGCGGACATGCCAAGATATGGCAATGATAAGGCCAGCCCATCCGAGCCACCTCAAAGCAATCCTTTAGGCTCGGGGTATGGGTCGGCCACATGGCTGTCCGTCTTGGCACTTCAATGGGAAGAGACTAATCAGAAGTTGGAGGCAATATTGAAGAAAGTTGGGAGCATTGACGACCGAGTCTTCGAGTTGGAAAAGAAGAGTGCTCGTTTTTGGGCATATACTAGAGATTGGAACCGGGTGGAATGACAGCTTTACGGGCGTCAAGATACTCTCTTGACGGTCCAACTTCCAAGGTTCCCGAGCGGTCTTTGTCCTCCCCAAGTTCGGTGCTTCCCGCCCTTGCAGACTCACATGCCGGTTACTTCCATTGTTGCTGCGTCTTTTGCTCCTGCTCCTCATGTTCCTGTTGCTGCTACATACCTACCACGACTGCGATCATTCCTGCCGTTGCTGTTCCAGTTGCTGCTCTCGTTGTCCAAAGCTACAAAGAGGCTGATGCAGTCCCTGCTTGCCCACAGTAAGCAGTTTTGCAGGAAATGGTTTAATTCTCAACTTTTGATCACAGCCTCTATAAACATTATTTTTGGGTATATCTTTTGGGTACAGATACACTGTTATTCCATCTTTTGTGTATGACTTGTTGGATGTCATTTTCTTTTGTGTACATAATTATGACAAATGGTGTTGGATTTGTTTTTGCTTTGTCTAGTTCCATTATTTATTTCAGGTACAACATTCTTGGATGATTTTTCGTAGTGTTAAAGTTAAAAGGATGTAGGCCTTCCTTCTATTTTATACCCAAACACTTTTCCCCTTGCACCCAACCCGTACCCTTTTGGTCCCATTGGCAACAATGAGGACATTGTCAACATTAAGTTTGGGGGGATGTGTCAAGAAAAAAAATTTACACCTTCGAAAAATTGGGAGGTATGAAAAAAAAAATTAGAAAAAAAAGAGAAGAAAACAAAACAAAAAAATAGAAGAATCGGTCTTCGAAAAATTGGAAGACAAAAATAAACCCCGTTATCCAAAAGGGCAAGTTTATGCCAAGAATGGGTCACGAACTTTTTTCCAAGTACTCAAAAGTGAATCGATGAGAACTTTTGTTTCAAACCCTTTTGTAGTATAGGATAAGTTTGGGGGAGGGATACACGCTATCATTGCCAAAAACACTAAGCCGAAAGCCCTAATGATTAACGGCAACACTACGAAGATCAAGCAAGGAAATTGTACATCCTCTTTACTAGACGAATTTCCAACATCTTCCGTAAGTATTTCGTTCTTGTTCCTTTCTTTTTGTGTCTTTTTAATTTTTTTTCTTCTACTTGAGGACAAGTAATACCTCAAGTTTGGGGGTGTGATAACTCTCATTTTGTGAGACTTATTTGTTGTTTAATACCCCTATTTTATTGTATCTTTGGTACCCATTTTGCTCATATCTTGTATTTTTGGTCCAAAATATGTTAAGAGGTGATGAAAGGTCAAGAATTTAATTATTTTCTAAAAAACCCATTACTATTGGTAAAATGCCCACTTTCTGCTCACATTCATCTTATGGCAGATTTGCATCTAGTTGGATTTGAACAAAATTCAGATATTCATTCCCTTGGATATTAATGACACTTAATTCTAAGTTCAGATCTAAACATTGAGTTGCTTGGAGGAATGGACCTGGTTGAAGTGATGAAAAGACATGGAAAGTACTTCTACCTTTATTTTGATTGAAAAGCCTTCTTTTCATAATTTATTGGAGTACTTTTACCTTTTGCAACCTTTCAAGAAGAAGTGACATRGCCTRAGATGAAGTAGACATGTGGTKATRGRTGRTCCTTACCCTTTGGACAATGCAGATTTTTATCCATTGGATAAAGAGTTTATCCGGTCCCACCTTTTCCCTATATATTTTGAAGGCTCTCTCTCAA